TGAAACCAGACCATCTGCCTCTGTCTGAAGTCTGCAGGGCAAAGGGGAAATAACGAGTTAAAGTAATAACAAGCAGCAATGATCAGACCAAACCCAGGAGTACACACATTTTTCAGATCTGGATTATAGCTCAACTTGCTAATCTTCTATTTATTTTGTTTCTCTGTCTTTCAGTGGGCTGAGTTTTCCTAAGATAAAAACTACCTGATAGTTTTTGTGCATGTTGAAAAATTGGTTTAAAATTCAGCATCATATGTAACTGAGGTGTTAGAGTTGTGCTGTTACATGGAAACACCAACTATTGCTGAAAAACAGTATTTTTGACATTATTCATAAGCTAAGCACTGTCTAGGTTATCTTGATGTATGTCTTGTTTATGGTAGAAGTTAAAATAGTAGTGAAGTCTGGCTACAGCAAAAGATAGGCTATTATACCTAATATTCTTATTTACAGAACTATATAAACAGTGCTATTAAAATCATGCAGCTAATCAAGATAATTTTTTTTTACTCAACTCCAAAATAATTAAATTCTGTAAGAGTTGGAATTTGGTTTTGCTGTGCTCACACCTCATGGACAGTGCATATTGCACCTTCTTTTGCAATAGCGGAAGTAATACAGCTACAGATGGTGTTGCTTTACCTCTGTGTTAGGAAATAACTTTAAAATAACTTCTTGGTTTGCCTGGTTTGCTTGGTCTGCTTGCAACTGTTTAAGTGCATAACTGAAAGCAGAACAACTTAGATAAAGTGGGCATAATACAATTCTTTGTTTCAGCAAGAAAGCTGAAACTTCACTTTTTTTTCTGTGCCTGTACAACTCTCTCTACACTCTGCCCTTGCCCCATCCTGCACACGCGATGTCTGCGTGCAGCTTTGTCCCTGTGTGTGGCAGCAGCAGAAGGCACAGACTGCAGGCCAGCGCTGCACCCTTGGGCACCTGAAAGCTTGGCAGATGGATTTCTGCATCCTGGGAGAGGAGATGGACAGTGCTGGAAGAGGCAGCAGATCCTGCTTTTGTGCTGCAAGATCTCAGTGCTCTGAGAGCTCACCCACCAGTCTGAACTAAAAGAGAAGTGCTAGAAAACAAAAATATTTCATGTTTTATAAATCTGTGCCTCTTGAAACCCAGTGCAATTGTGATCTGCCTGCCTGAGGAAAAGGTTGTAGTGGTATGCAGGAAAGGAGCAAAGGAGCAAGTCAAGTGCACGCCTCTGTGCTGTCTTTGCCTGCTTACTCAATCAGTAACTTCTATAAAAAGGTCTTTCAGGGAAAATATGCAAGTTATTAAGGCATGACTTGCAGAAGCAGTTGTTACAGTTAATTTCCTAATGATATCTCAGGATGGCTTCCAGACTTGAATTTCCTCTTATTTCTATGAGGAAAATACCATTATTTGTATGTTTGTTTTTTTTTTCTTGAGGTATTGTGTTAGCATCTGGTTGCCCTTATGAGAGGTCAGTGTGTTTGGAGATTCCATACATGTATGCAGACCAGACCTGATATCCTTTTTTTTGCTTGGAAGGTCTTAGACTTGCATATAACAATCTGGCGTCTTGTTCCCTCTCAGAACATTAGTTTGAGAAAAAGTCAAAACTCTTGAGAATTGGTGAAATGCATTATAGTGTGGCACATAATATCCCAGTACATTTTGAAAATTGTATACATAAAAAAATTAACATGTGCGAGTGATTCAGGATAGTATCCAATGTTCTCCTTATCCTGTTTGAAAACTTCTGTCATATATCCATGATCCACACACATTGAAGAGCCTCAGAAGCTGAAATTCCATTAACCCAAACTTCTAGTGTCAGAAATAGGTCAACAGCTTATTGCAGCTAAAAGGAGAAATGGCAAAAGGTTTCCTTGTATTTTTCCTCCAGGAATTCTGGTCTGCCCTCTGTGACATTATCTGTCCAAATGTGTGGTGGGTTTTAAGCCCTTCATTGTAGGAAGTTACTTTTGTTTTCTGTAAAAGAATCTGCTGCACACAATTTTGTTGTGTCTACTCATTCTATTTTTAGAGTTTTTGCTATTCTTTGTTTTGCCCCTCCTATTCCATATCACATGCAGAGCTTACTTGTGCACCTTTTCCTTTTTCTCACAATTGGGAGTGTGGTGGGAAATCCAGATCTCCTCAGCTGCTGTCTGTCATGTGACTTCAAATAATTCAATTACAGTCAGTAAAAGAGACATAACTGACTTAGGAAAAAGGACTGTTGACTGTCATCTGTGTCAGGGAATTGTAGTTGGGCACAGATCTTATTTTTTTATTGTTTAAAGGTTTGCAGACATTCTGGAAGAGCAGAAGATTGCAGAAGAGCAGACCAGACATCTTTAATTATGTTAACAAAATATGGGGAAGTTTGGGGTTTTTTAAAATCCCATGAACGTGTGAAGTCTGAAGTGTGACATTACCACGTCCTTCTCTTTAGAACTGTTCCAGGGCTGTGCAGGGTTTTTCTTACAGTAGAGGATTTAGTCTTGCTTCCATGGCAGCTGCTTCCTTCTGGAAAGCTTCTTACTGATACTTTTCTGGTAGTGGTGCTGCTTCCTCTTTTTTTATGAAACAAAATATTATAGTCTTTTTTGACATTTCAGAGTCTTCTTGACTGCAATTTTAGCACTTTTTTTTTCTGCTAAGATGCCTATTATTTCTGTTACGTACTTACAAAATGAGTCATCGTATTTGCAACTTCTGTATCTAATGGGCAAATTCTTGTGTAAAGAGAGCTGTCTCAGGGTGGATTGTGACACAAAACATAAGCAGGGCTTTGAGCTGGATGGCGGATGTGCTGACCCATCCCTTCACAATCCCCCATGCACTACTGTAGTAAGCCAGGGCCTGGCTCTAGTCTGCTCTTGCTGTGGTGACTCTCCCTTAGGGTTTAGCAGAAGTCAGGACAATTTACAGATGATGAGTTAAAAGCCAAGCCAAACCAAAACTAGCTTTTTTTTTTTTTTTTTTTTTTTTTTTTTTTGTTTTGTTTTGTTTTGTTTTGTTGCACACAGATGATTTAATTTTCTTGTGGGAATTCTGGCCTTCCCTCCACAATAGTGTGTCCAAATGTGTGGTGAGTTTTAGGCCTTCATTGTAGGAAGGTACTTTTCTGTAAGAAAATCTGTCCTATGAAATTTAGCTGCACCTAGTAATTATGTTTTTGGAACATAATTCCAACACATTCTTTTTTTTTGTTGTTGTTCCTATTCCAAGTCACATGCACAGTTTACAATTAAAGAGGGGTTTTTTGGGGTTCCAGGCTTTTTCCTCACCGTGGGATCCAGATCAATGATAAATGTCACTTCCCTGTAGATGCGGTGTCCTCTGTTACCCGGGCTCTAGTGTTTTTCACAGACTGCTTAATTTTAGCCTGCCTCGCCTCATTACTTTTGCTCTCTTTCTAAGGACAGTAATTAAAGTTGATTGGGTGCAGACTCTGAAAAAGGTGATAATGTCCCATTATCATATGGCATTACAAGTTCCTGCTTAACCTGAGAACCGAAAATTACATACCTAACATCTTTGACCAGGTTGGAGTCTTTTCAGCTAGTGCATGTATTTTTAAGAAGCCTAACAACCAAAATGAAAGAAAAACCAATTTCTCGAGTCTGAATTGAGACACTGTATGCAGGAGCAACAGGACTGCATGAGATGTGTTGATTTTGTATGGAAGTAACTAAATAAAATCACTGTATTTTTGTTATCTGTCCAGTGAGGTATACAGTTCTGGGAGATTTGAGAAATCCTAATTTGCAGAACTTGCTGACATTTAATCACAAGTCTTATTATCTCTCTATGTCTCTCTGTCATCTAAAATAACAAAAGGCATCCATCTAATATGTAAATTTGATCATGCAGTGATCTTGATGCTGGCTTATATTCCTATTTCTCTACAAAACTTCCTTTGATTAAAGGATCCCAGAGGCTGTTGCAGTTCTTCGGGACTAACCTTTTCTTCCTGTTCTTTGTCTATTCTGTATGAAGTTTTTTGATTGATTTTAATCTCCTAATTACCCTTAACTAGTACTTTAATTTTTTTTCTTCCTTTTTTAATCTTGAAAATGTGGCTTCTTTAGCTACTCCAGTGATGTAGTTAGGGTAATATTCAATTTCATTCTCTGTGCTTTCAAGGATGCAGCGTTGTACCCTACAGGAGATGATAAGGCCTGCAGAAGACAGCTAGCTTCTTAAGGAATATCTTTAAGGAACCCATGGAGTTATGTGCAATGCAAAACAAGAAATTGGCAGTGTCACCAAAAGCCTTTAAATAAAAGGAAATCTGTCTTTTTTAGGTGTGGGAAGAGTACATGGCAAAGGACAGTCCTTATAATAAAATAACTGCAAATAGGATAAAAGTGCTAACATTCGGAAGTATTATTTACCCCAGTTCACAGAGCAGCTTTGCTGTAGGTAAAGAATTCATGCTGTATGTGTTATTTACAAGGCCATCCTACCTACATCTGGTCTTCCCAGCTTTTGTGAGTGTTTAAGCCTTAACGAGTCCAAGGGAATGTTACAATCTGGACAGTTTATTATTTTTTCCTCTGTGCCTCAGTGCAGAGCAGCTAACAGCTTTGGCTCTTTCTAACTTCACCGTGAAATACAAATACACTTACTTCTACTTGACTCCAGTAAGACATTTGCTAGCTGTTACTAGCTGTTAATGATGTTACCTCCGGGAGACCCTGACAGCCCTTCAGGCCCACACATTTAACCCCGTGAGACTGAGAGGTAGGTGGGAATCTGATTGCATGTTGGAGCTGGCAGTGCCATCAGGCCTTCACTTGAGGGACCACACCTCTCCTTTTGTCAGAGCAGTCATGCTTCCAGCGAGGTTTTGTCCTGTTCACTGTGCTAAAAATCCATTAAATGAGTAAGCAGGTTCCCCAGGACAATGATTTTACTGGAGTCTGTCCTAACTGAGAATAGGCTTCCAAGTGATTCCCCCTGATTTTGCACTGAAGGCATGTGTGAGACATTGCAAACTGGGAGGTGGCTGCTCAAGACCCCGATGTCTTGCTGTAAAACTGTCTCGTGTAGTGGTTAAAAACATCAGCCTTTTCTGGGATTTCTGGGTGTGGGGTAACTAGCACAAAGAATCCAGATAGTTTTCCCTAGAATGTAAGGTGAATCGCTAGTCTCGGGGTAGACGGCACCATGCACTGAGCATGAGTGAAAGAAAATTATTTTGCTTAAACTGCCTGAAAGAAGGTTGCTAGCTCTCGTCTTTAAGCACCTATTAAGTCATCCAGTGTTAGTCAGTGTAATTACGGAGGCTGCAGAAGTAATTCCAGATAGCAGTGTTGAAATGTACAATTTGGGCTTGAAAACAAAACTATTTAAAATAGATCTTCCTGCAAGTTAAGGGAACCCCGGTGTGACTGTCAGTCACCGCAATCAGACACTGCTCTGCACTCAGGGCTTTTTTGGCCTCTCCTGCTTGCTTTCTCATACCACGTTGGCAAGCTGCAACAAGTGAAAACTCCACCCTTCCTACAGACTGGGGAGAATAAGATTCATAAACGGCAACAGCTGGCGAGTAAAATCGGGGTTTCTCTGAAGGTGCTGGTTTTTCAGACAATCACTGTGTGCAGCTGAGAAAGGGGCGGGATCCTTTTCAAGTAGGTTAGTTGTGATTTGCTGAATCCGTAGACTTTTCCCCTCAAAACCCCAACCCTCTCTCTCTCTCTCTCTCTCTTTTTTTTTTTTTTTTTTTTTTTTTTTTTCTCTCTCCTCTCTCCTCCTTCTGAGAGAGAGAGAAAGGGAGAGGGAGAGAAGTTGGCTTGCGGCTGCATCTCAGCGCGCACGTCAGCGTTGATCTGGTCCCCAGAGCCTTGCCTGACACCATGAGTTCGGAAGCCGATGAACCCAAGGAAGGTACGGTTCCAAAACTCTTTATCTTCACAGGAGAGGAAATGCGCACACTGCTTCTCCGGGCACGGAGGAGAGTTTCTGCTCCCTTCAGCTTTCGGGTATTCAGAGGGGAGGGGAAAAGGCCTTTGCAAAAGTGTTGGAAGTCCTGCGGGATAGGAAGTGACCGAAGTGTTTGCACCCAGGGGTATCTGTCTCGGCGATGATAATTTACTCACACGTGGAGTATAGATAAGTGGGAGAAACAGTGTTTCAAAACGCTGGTAGCCAAATGTCGAAAGAGGAGGATTTCTTTAATTTGGGAGCGCTGTATTTTTCAGCAAAAGAGGAAGTTGCATGGGGAGAAGTGAAAGGTCATTATTTTGGGAATAAGGCTGATTCCCCTTACTTCCCTGCGGATGAGTGTTCGTGTGTGTGTTAAAACAGAGGAGAGTGCCAAAGCTACGGCGTGCTGCTGCCTCTGGACTGGAACGTGTGGAGGGGCTGGAAGTGCTCCAACAAAAATGCAATTATTCCCTGGTGTTGATCGGGAGGGGGGGTGTGAGAGGGATTCGGACAGTGGGGAGCAAGCAGGGGAGGAGGAGGGCAATTTCCTGAAAGTGCCTATATACAAAAGAGCATTTATATAGATGAGGGAACAGGGCAGTGGTGGGGTTGTATGCTGGATTTCTTAGAATAGAATTGATGTTTCATGGTTACACAAAGTCCTTAGGGGGATTCAACCATACAGAGATCCAGTATGGCTGAGAAAAACAACTTAAAAAACCCCAACAGAAAAGCCCCAAGTAGTGGAGCGACCTAAGCATTTTGTATTTGTTGAAAACAAGAACTTTTCAGAATGTTTCAGGTGGTTTTCCCCTCACAGTCTGTACAACTTCCTTCACTTGAATATAAGATTACCATGGGCATCTGTTTACTTACTTAAAAGAGGATTTTGTTGATTTGCAAAAAAGTCTCCTTGCACTGAATGAGAATTAATGCTAATAATGCTGATAGAACCTGGTAAGTAATGGAGCCCAATAGCCTCTGTTTTGATAAGAATAATCCTTATATTTTTCTTCTTGTCAAATGAACAGCTGAACCAGAAGGCAGCTTGTCTTTTTTTTTTTTTTTTTATCCCCAAGAAGATTCTGTAGGACAGATTTATTGAAAAGCAGAACTGTAAAAATTATTTCCCTATAGAAACTTTGAAAAAGAGACTATATATACATACTCCTTCAGTTTTACAGCAGGAGAGATCTGCTTGCATGCTATAGCAGGAAAGATCCTCTGGTTTCATACAGGAAGCTCCAGACAGTTTTAAGAAGCTGGCTATATTTGAAATGTAAATTTTATTGTTTGAAGAAATGTCTTACCTTCTTAGATGACTCTGATTCTTAAAATCAAATAGGTTTGCCTTTCTGTACATTTCTTCATAAACAATTTGAGGTGCCAGGATTTTCATGCTGGAAAAAAAAAAAAAAAACCCCAAACATTTGAAGCAGGTGTCTGAGACAGGGAAAAAAAAAAAAAAAAGAGGTAGCTTTTTGATTACTTATTTTTAACTTGGGAAATATTTGGGTTTTGCTGTTCTTTATTCTTAATGTGTTAGAATGGAAAATGAAACAACAACCATTGTGGGAAGATGAAGTACAGATGTCACTGAGAAGGTTTTTCAGTCAGTCTGCAAACGTATCCCTGGTAATGTATTCACATCTTTAAAAGAACAATTTAGAAAAAGCAAGAGAAAAGTGTGTATGTGAATAAAAACTGGGATTAACAGGTAAAAATGTAGAATTGCGGCTGTCACACTACTTTGCCTAGTCTGATTGTACATTTATGGAAGCATAAAATACTGAAAAGTGCAGTCAAATACCCGTATATTGGTAGTGATCCAGTGTATGTAGCAGAATCTTTCAACAAGCTGTGTTTCATGAAGAGACTTTGGTTTTTTTGCATAAAGAAAATGGATGTTTCACAAATCCCAACTGAATGTGTGTCTCAGTCTTTTGACATTGAGGATATATAATTTTCAAGTGGTTTACCAAAGGGGAGGTTGTTGATTTTTGTTTTAGGTGCAAGACTAAATGTCATTCTAAAAGAGGAATTCTGATTTACCCACAAACTATATGGTCCACCTAGGGAATCAGGAGGTAACTCCTGATTATGGAAGGAGTAGAGGGTATACTTGGACAGTTATAGAACAGGTATTTTACCAGATCCTGTGCATTTCAAGGCCAAAAGTAGTGATGAAGAGTATAGTGGCTCATCTGCTACAAGTTAAAAAGTGAAAGGAAGAGAAGGCTACATGAGAAATGTCGGTTTAATGGTGTTTGTAAACATAGGCAGTTTTTTTGTTTTCCTTGAGGCAGAGGTTCTCAAATAGCCAGGAGCTAGTAAAGGGGTCTGTGAGGAGTTCTGGAGGTCACTTGCATCTTCCAGGCATGACTCCTGTGTGTTGGAAGATCACCCTCAGTGAAGAGGAGAGTTGAGGGTGCAGTAATAACATTGAACATTGTGTATGCTCTGCCAATGATCTGATGCTGAAGTGAGCAATACATCACTTTCAGCTACGTTATACAAGGGAATTGCAGTAATTGGAGAACACTGAGATGTCTATAAAAGTAGACATAGTGTGGATTATTTTAAAAAATCTACATAACAAGATTGAAGATTATAGGCTTTGCTAGTATAAAATTGAGCTCTATCCACTGTTACAATGAAAGACAAAATCAAGGTAAATTTTGAATGGCTAACTCCTGAGGATTTTCTTTTTGTAATTAATCAAATAAAGGTAGAGCATTTGACCTCAAGTAAAATCTAACTTTTTAAACAGGAACAGAGACTAAAAAGACATTGCTAGAAGACAGGCATTACCCCAGTACATATTACACTAATTGCTGGATATAGGGTATGCGGCAGTGTATGTGGGGTTTTCAGCTTCTGCCTTTGATCTCTTCATGGTCTGTATTAGAATGGTAACATGAAACAGGTTTTTTTTTTCTCCTGCCACGCTGCTCAGTAACTTCAGAACAATCTTTGTATTCGTCTGTATCCCACAATGCTGTGGTAAATATGTGCATGTGTCTTTATGGCATCAATCTGTATTGCATTTACAGATTCCAACAACTGTCATGATATAAATAACCCTGTCACATTTTCTTGTTTTCATTGCTTTCACCAGATGAAACAAATTGTGTGTTAAAGTCCATAAGAAGACTATAGCATCTAACTGCATAGCATAATTTCATTCTGGTGTTGATTGGTGGCATGTCACCTGCCATGTACCAAATGATTTCAGGCTTTGATTTGACTGAATTCCTTCTTGAGATCTGAAGGAAATGTTATTAGTCCTGTCGTGTTAAAACAATGTATCACGAGTGCACATTTTAAAATACGTGGCAACACCAATCAAGATTATTGTGATGCAAATGCATTTCTTCAATAGAGGGAAACAGGAATTTATGTAAAGCTCCAGAGAACTTCAACTTCATGCTACAGGTTTTATGCAATATATTTTAAAAACAACAGGGGAGAAGTCTGGTATCTCAAAGGAAAAGTAAAATAGTAACAGATAATCAGAGTGAATGTAAGCCTGTAAAACAAACTCAGACACAAGTGAGAGCCTGCATTGCACCTTTTTCATACTTAGTTTTGAATACCACATTTCAGGAGAGAGAGAGATCAGAGCATTCCAACAAGTGCTTGGAGATTTTTTTAGACATGATTAGCATTTTTTTAATCCAAATGAGATTAGTGAAGAATGAGCTCACCTGTTTTGTTCCTTTTAGAGCTCAGAACAACACAGGGGTTACAAAATCACAGAGCAGTCACTGTTTCAAGAAGTTAGTACTCCCTCCTGTAAGTAGTACTGGATTTGCTTTGACATTTTGTAGTCACCTCTCATGTGTGAATGTTTTCCAAGCTAGAATTTTGTTCTAGACAAGAAATCAACTGCTCTTGTGCTCCTACAGTCCACTTACTCCATCTACTCCATCAGTGGGACTCAGTAATGTGTCATTCTCCATCCCACTAATTCCAAAACTAGCATTTGTTAGAACCTATTTTTATTGTATGACAATGAATGGGGAAATCCAAACTGTAGAAGTGGAGCACAGAATTAGTACTTAACCCCACAGATTTGAATCACCTTCGGTTCTCACCCAAAAGACTAAAAAATGTGGACTTCCTTTGTTTCACCTGCTATTTGCTTAGCCTCCCTTGTCAAGATAATAATCTTCATAAAACATTAAGGCCAGTCAAACAGTGGCCTTTTGTTGTAGTCGTCTGGACAGTTCAGTTCAGAAGCAGGAGTAATCATCTGGCCCCAGTGCATGTGTTAGAGATCTTGATTTCTCAATTTGAGAACTTTTTTTTTTTTTTTTTATATCTCACAGATAACTTTCTTACTGTTGATGAAGAGAATGAAAAGATTGCTGGCTGTGCATATCACATACACGGCTTTGTAAATCATAGCAATGCTTGACAATTCGGCCTTTTGTGCAAACCCTTCTATAGTTAATTGGAATTATTAATAGGACAGGGTGATAGGGAAAAAAGTATCCCTCTAGTACAGGAAAGAAGGAAAAAAGAAAATAAGCTTGTGAGAGTTCAGAAAGAATTATTACTAGCCAGGTGCTGTAAAACCCTATCACATATGCATAAGGAAAGCATTGCCAGAGCTAAAAATAGCAGGGCAAAAAGAAAATAAAGAAGATAAAACCTTAATGAAGAAGAAGCAATGGGAAATTTAGGGGGAGTAAGAGTACAGTACACAGGCAAGTTGGAAGTGGTAGATTTTTTTTTTTTAGTGTAGTTTGGGTGACAGTACATTTAATGGAGCAAGATGCAGGAAATAAAAGGTCTATGAGGACAAAAACTGCCATGGTTTGTAGCACAGCTGCTGCAGCTTCATTGAGATGTGGGCCCTTGACTCTGTCACTAAGAGCACTGACTTCAGGCTGTTAAGCCATAGGACTCTGTAAGAAGCTCTGCACCTCTCCCCTTCAAAACTGAAAGAATGGTTG